TTTAAAATTTTATATATAATGATTGCTCACATGTAATTTTTTTCTACGTCTGAGATCGTTTGGGTAGTAGTAGAAATTGGACACGGAGGATGTCGCCGAAAGGCAGTATAAGGAAGGGATTGGAAAATGACGAGTGGACGATTTCATGAAACTCTGTGCCCAGATCAAGCCTAAGTGGGAGGAGGAATAAACCAGGTAACAGCGCTGTGTCGGCTTCCTCGTCTTTAGGGTCGGCCTCATCGCATAGGTATGAGAGGCAAACCCTGGAGGACTGTGCTGATGCCTGCACGGTCCGTGTAGCTGAAATGTTTGCAAATGCGCCGAGTCCGTGTCAGGTGTGGCTCTCACGCGCTAGATTATAACACCTGTGATGGCAGACGTGTTGTTTGGCTCGCATCTGCATCCCCAGAACCGAGAGCAGTGCCCGGCATGTTTTAAGAAATGATTTCTGAGTAAAAACATCAATAAAAAAAACCACTTGAGCTGGACTCGAAAGATAAATAGCGTGAGCAGGTACAGATGAGGATGTAGTAAGGGTGGACGAAAGCCAGGACAAGGTTCGCTTTATAGTCCGGCCGAAGAAACCCTTCTTTCTTCATTCCTGCGGACGATATTATGGAAAGACATCGATTAAGTGAAACAAATCGTTAATTGCTCGATCCAGGAGTAGTTAATATTGTGCGGTCAGGTCAGTTAAATTAGGGCAGACCCCTCAGACTACGGCATGTGTGGCAAATCAGGCGGCACGCCGGATTTTTGTCCATAAAGTTTTATTGAAACGTGATAATGCTCCTTTGTCGTTGCTGCTTCTGACTTCCCATGGCAGAGCTGAGTAAGGGGGAAAGCAACCCCCCCAAAACCTAAAACATTTGCTACCTGGCACGAGAGAGACAAAGTTTGGCGACCTCCGAGTCTGATTATTTAGCGGTTTGATGTGTCGCTTAAATTGTCACCCTTCACTGTTCAAACCAGGTCGGTCAATCTCAAGGGCGTCTTTGAGTCTTTACCCCTCATTTGCATACTGACGTCAGCAGACTGTTCTTTACTTTTGCCCCGATAATGGGCTGGTAGCCCCTGAATAATTTTGTCATGTCTCCCATATATGATTGGTGGAGTTTAGACTCTGGAATGAAAACATCAAGGAGAGTATACAACATAGCATCTTGGGTGACAAATCGTTCTGTGCAAACTGCACTCGTCACTGTCATCGTGGGGGTGTGCCACGATCCGGGGAGTCCCTGTTCCCCGCATCGAGAGACGTCCGAGACGAGGAAAATGACAAGTAGAATCTTTCGTAAAACTCTGTGCCCAGATCCAGGGTAAGAGCGGGTAGCATCTGCTCTTGCCGTTAACAGCGGTTTGACGTGCTGGGCGCCAGCGTTCGGCAGAACAGGAATAGAAGCCGGGTTTGGAAACAGCTGTTTCTAGCAAGAGGCCTGGAGGAAGTTGGAGAAGCATTTCCTCTGTGTTTGCCGGCAGAGATGGAGCAACTCAGCCATCATCCTCCGGTGGCGTTCCGTCACGGCAAAGTGCCATCGAGAGGTGGAAAGTGTGACTTTGACGGTGACTCGACCGAATTTTGAATTTAGACCATGCTCTTTGCTCTGCGTATGTGTTTCAGTAAAAAAAAATAGTTCAGAATCCTTAACCAGTTTTTCTTGAATCCCCCTGCAACGCCACAGCCAGCTTCCCTAACTCTATTCCTCCTTCTGCTGACTCGCAGCAGGTGTCCCCAGGTAAGAGGCGTCCCCTGGGCTTTCATTGGCCCCCCTAATCAGAGTTGACTGTGGGCGCATCTGCACCATCCTTGAAGACTTTGAGTTTCTGTAGAGCGAGATGCTCGTTCACATACATCTCTGTCCTCTCGTGAAGTGTAGTGTTTACGATGACAGATTCCGCCGCTCCCCCCGACACTATCACGGACTCACTGTGTTTCTGGGACGCGGTGACGTCCCTTCCTGTTGCAGACCACACGAAACCACTGCTACCTAGATACCTACCGGATAGATGACGTATCCAGCCGGGTCCTAGGGATGCCCTCATCCTTCATCCGACACGATTTCCCGGAGGCGGTGCGTGCACGGATGTGTTTATCACCTGTTAAAAGTTAAAAGCAATTTTTTTTACCGTTGCTGTTATAAAAACACGCCGTTTACAGCTTAATGGGAATTTATGGATGCGTTTCTTTCGTTTCCGAGTGTAAATGGACAATGATAAGGCGAGAGAGAGTCTTATGGTACTACGCCTAGTGGGTCATCAGGATTTCCTGATGACGGATACCTCCCTCGAGTGTCAGAGTCTGTTGCCACCAAACCGGCGGGGTCGGAACCACGCCTGGTGCCGCCGCAGCTTATACACAGGCAGGCAGTGGGCGGCCGGGTCGGGGGGCCACAGGCCTGAATGCCCCTGAGTCCTGTGCTTTCCTTGGGGATCTTGTGAGCACAGTAGTGGAGCAGAGGGCAGCCCCTTCATTGTGCCCATGAACCGCTGCCACGAACAGCGGCTCTCTGTGGCCGGGAACAGCGTTGGGCATCCGTGATCTGAGGGCGTGACGTTTCTAGGGTCTCTCCAGTGTTGTTTTGCCGGGAGGCGGTTATGCATGGAGCCAGGCTCTCTCAGACTCGTCTTCCATCACCTGGAGCACGGAGATCTCGGCAGACTCCGCCCCCGGAGAACAGACTGCCACGCCTGGCTCGCGAGGTGCACGCGCCTGCGAGGTGCCCGTGGATTTGTGGCACACCGTGTGCGCCGTGTGTGAATGCGTGCCCTCTGCCGTATATCCTGTCTCACGGCATACCGTCTAGTCATTTACGGGCGTTGGTATAAATGTTCACAGACTCGGAAAGACTCTGGCTTTCTCGCTTTCTGTTTAGTTATTCTGAATCGCCTCGTAGACACAAAGCTTGTTTCCCCAAGTGAGTAGTAAGAGCTCTACCGGTGATAAAATGATAGTGATGATGATAATAGCCGTTGCGTGTGCTGTGTCTCTCTTCCAGGCACTGGACTTGGCCCTGGAGTGATTTCCATGTAACTCTCGCCGCTAACATGTTGACAGCGTCAGGTGCAGAGCTGCTGCTTTGTTTCCTATGGCTGCTCTAATAAATTACCCCTTATTTGGTGGCTCAGAACAACACAAATCGATGATCTATTAGTTATGGACTTCAGATGTGCACCATGAGTCCGCTTGAGCTGCATTTCTTTCCAAAGGTTCTGGGGGGATCCATTTGCTGTCCTTTCCAGCATGAGTGACTTCGATGCCTTTATGCACCTTCCGTACACCCTTCCGGTCTCTCTGTGACGACAGCCCCTGCTTCTACTGTCCCCCTGCCCGTCCTCCGTGTGTCCCTAATCAAGGCCCTTGCGAATCTGGTGGACTGACTCAGAGCTCTAATCCAGCATAAGCTGCCCTGTTGCCGTATAAGATTTGGGTGATATGAACACGGACTTTTGGGGGTGCCGTTATTTTGCTTACTACAGCTGGTAAAAAAAATTGAAATGTAATTTGAACATTCTGACGCAAGTCATCGGTATGAGGCTTTTCTTGCTGTGGGATTTGAGTCTCCCTGGTTACAGAGGGACCACTCCAGACCACCGGGCAGTGACGGCCATGTGTCCTGCCTCGCGGTGACTGTTACGTACGTTTTGCTTGTTTGTTTGTTTGTTTGTTTGTTTGTTTGTTTCCCACCACAACTATTCTGTTTTGCTCCTGAATCTGTCGTCAAATGCATGTAATGAGAGCAGTTGGTTCTTCCCAACTGGCCGCCCCATGACGAGCGTTGAAGAGTTCGTTGACGCGAGCGCCGAAGG